TAGTCACTATTGTTTTACTTCTGATGTTCATTATCTTTTTTAGCTTTAACTTTATAAATATTGTATGAGAAGGCAATGATATCACATTATTATTGCATAAGAATGAAAGATTTTTCATATTTTCATAGAGGATTCTATGAAAATTCCAAAAGTTTTTTAAGACATTAAAGTAGTCAAACTGTGTGAAGACATTAAATTATACACAACAGACAGTTAAATAAAATACTTATGAGGAAACGGATGTTCTGATTATTGGTTTTTTGATGAATTGAATGACTTTCAATCATGTCCTGATGGGAAAGGCACTGTGCCCAAACATTATTAAGCAAAAAATAGGAGCTCAAAAAGCATAATATTTAGTTAGGATAAATGAAAAATCATTTTGTTTTAATTTTCACTATTAAACAATTGTTTTCTAAAATCTCAGGGAAGAGTTCCTTGCCTAAGTGGAGAACTTGATTGTCTGCATCATTATTAAGACTTTTCAGTGCCTCTTGGTAACCATTTTGAGGACTAATCCTCATTTGTACTGCTGGAATTCAGTTCAGTAAACAGTTTGAGCTATTCCAGGTCAGGCAGGATGCCCAGCATAGAGGCTTCTGAGATGATTAGACAATCTCTATCCTCCAGGAGCTCACAGGCTTTTGAGTCACAATCAGAGCATCCTGATAGAAACTTTTATGCAAAGCCCTCTCCAGCATGAGTTTGATTCCTGTTATTATCCCAGCCATTCTCCAGCTTAAAATTCTTCAAGAGTACTTCTTGCCTTTCTAATAAAAGCCAAATCCTCTAGGATAACGCTCATACATTTCCTAACTGTTCTCAGGTGTATAAAAGAAAACTGGTCTTTGAGTAGTGACTGGGAATTGACTTAAACAAGAGTCAAAGATAAGATGTTCTGAAAACAGGCCCAAAGAAGGTATTGTTAGATATCCCTGCTACTGAATCTTGGCAATGGAAGCAGTTTAATATTGTCAGTTTTGCTGTAATGCTGCATATACACTCCTGAAAGTTATCTTGCTATGCAAAACTGTGCAGCAAAAACCACTCGACACAAAAACTCCATCAGTCACATATTAAAAAGATAAGAACTTAATAAATTTGGTAGCACAGTTTTATACATATTAAATGGTTTATAAACACATAAATTCTATAATAAAATGCAATTTTAAGAAAGACCTGAAGTTTTCTTATTTCAAAATTAAGCAATATAAAAATAGCAAATTGTAAGTTATTGTGAGATGGTAGAAGGTTGATTGTCAGAAATCACATGAAATTTGTAACATCAGATGTGGACATATGTGATTCACAGCACACATAGTGAACTGAGGTAGCTCATGGAAGTTTGAGATGGGTGACATCTGAATTTTGCATATTCTTATGCAGATAGGTTCAACTGGGTGCAGCTTTTTGAGTTCTCCTAGTGTTTCTGCCAGAGGAATTCCCACAGAAGCAAATGTGAAATTTGCATTATGCTTAAATTGTTCCCAAATATCTCAATTACATTGAAACAAATTCATGTTCTCAAAGAAAGCATTGTAGCAGAACTTACGGTATTTTGTGATTTCAGGTATTTGAGCAACTCAGTGAACCACCTGCTCATGAATTTATAACATTTATTTCAAAATTAGGACTAGAAGACTATTTCATATAAAGGGCAGTAAGTCAATCAATGCAAAAGTACCCCGATGGATGTCAGAGCTTTGTTAAAGAGGAACAGGAGCAGGAGGGTGCAGATTCCTGAAGCAGGAGATGGCAGAGCATAGCCATCAAGTAGGTGTGGCAGCAGAAGAGGAGCTTGAGATGAAGAGCAGAACGTGTCCTGTCATCCTAATTGTGGGAAGATTTGTTTCTGCTTATTTTCAGCCAAGCGGAAATAAAAATAAGCTGCTCTCAGAGGTATTTTTGTCATCAGCAGCTGCAAATAAATGCAGCTCTGTTTTGCATGAGTTACAAAAATTTTGTGTGTTTTAAGATACACATCATTAAAAAGGTGGTCTTCCCCTCTACTCCACAAAGATACATTAATTGAGGTGTGCAGGACTGGGTCTGCAAAACTGTTTAAAAACATTCCCCATAGTTGCAGCCAGGAAAACATGACCTTGGCTGTCAAGAAGGAGGGGAGAATCCAGGATCTGTGACAATGTATTTTAAGCTGCTTAATCCTTTCACATATAGCTATAATACCTGGCTCAATGTGATGATATGTTTTCTTTAAATACTTATTTGAATCATATTCTTTTGGAAATATGTTTGAAAATGAATAGAAACCAATGAAATTAATATTATGAGGGATAGGACAGAGTTGTATAGATTATTTTTAAAGGAAATAAAACAGATAAATGACCTAGAATCATGTAAACTGACTTTAATTTAGTAGCAATGAGACTACCAGATCGGGTCAATAGAACATACACAGAAACATCATAAAATTCACTTATTGAAAGTTTAATTTCTTAATATACTGAACAAATACTTTTATTTGATATCACTGTGAGCTTAGTAATTATACAAGATACCGAAAATTATCATTTGAAATCTTTGCTCATTTTTTTAAAGAAATTACTTCTTATATCCTGAAAAATAAATCTCATATTACTTCTATATACATTATGACAGATGGTAATGACAAAAAATTAGTGAAAATAAAAGTTTGGTTTTTTAAATAAAAATGGATTTTCTACACATATTCTTTGACCCCAAATTTGTTGGTTTTTTTCTCAATCTAGTTTAAAATGGCTTCGATTTTGCTAGGAAGATCTGCTGTGCATACTTCCCATAGCAGTATTTCCTAAGTTATGCCAAACCTTGAATGTAGCTATATGCACCACCAGGGAAGTGAAGAAGTAATGTATTATGAGGTAACTAACATTTGCTCCAGCATTTGTGATGTAAAACTTTTTGGAATTAAAATGGGATCCACAGGCACAAGATTCCATCAAAAAAAAATAATAAAACTGAGGTTATTTAGTCAATATCATGTATCATTTCAGGCACAGAAAAAAACGGTGTTTCATCCACAATGGATTTTTTATTAATACTTTCTAAGCTCTATAAAAGCAAATACATGTAGCAATGATGTGAAATGAAAACCAACTACCCATTTAAGTCATGTTCACACCACATAGCAGTTATGATGAAAGAGTAAGCCTGCTCTGAGTTTTTGTAAAGCAGTCTCTAGGAATTTAAATAACCCCTGCCTGAGAAACTTAGGTGAATAAATACAACACACACACACACACACACACACACACACACACACACACCATTAACTCTATATTAAAAATAATAAATTTTTTAATTCAGCATTGAAACCATAACTGGTTGGTTGCTAACTTAGACACATGGATCTAGGAAGCACAAGAATTCACACATCTGAAAAGTCAATATTGAAAGCAAACTAACAAAACAAACAGAAAAGAAATCTCAATGTCTTTCAAGTAACTACTGATGGTGATTGTAACCTATTTCCAATTCATTTGTCACCTTTTTTCTTTTACTTTCTAGGATCAGAGAATAATGAATCTTAGCAACTCTTATAGTCCAATCTGCTCATCAGATAGATTTGGGTACTAAGAAAGGTTAAATGCCTTGTTTTATGACATAAAATGATTAATTATAGAGCTAGGATTAGAACCCAGAAGCAGTACAATTCCCTAGTTTCTTTAGTATATTAAAGCCAACTTTCCTGGGCTAGACAGAGCAGTTGTGACAGTTAGCATTACATTAAATATTGGTAAGAAACTGGTATTTTAAAGCCCTGAACCTCACAGTGGGTAGTATCAGACCATCAAAAAACATGAGTCCTCTTTGCATGTCTGCCTCATGTGCTTGCAACATAAGAAATGGGGCAATAAAATATTAATGTTGCAAAACATTTAGGGTTATACATATAAGAAGTAAAAAACATTGAAATACGAATATACATCAGATCTCTCATGTTGAGGCCAGACTCTATTCCTGGCTGTGTCTGCTGGGAGTGGGGGCTGGGATTCAGTTACATAGAATCATCTAGCAGCAGGATCTCGCTGCACATACGGCTCCACTGCTAAATTGAAGGCAGAGTTAGAGTCCAGTCCCACTTTGTTGGCTTCTTGTTTTATTGGCTTGTGGAACATTTAAATTAAGAGAGTCTAGGACTTTCTTAAATGCAGAGGGCGCCTATGAGTTCTTACTGTTAAGATCGGAGATTCCAGTGTTTCTACAGGATTCTGCAGCCGGTTGGCTGCTAAGCAGTGAAGTAGTGAGCCAGGGATACACAGCTTTAGGGAAACTGCCTAACTCATGGTACCTTGTCTAGATGCATGATTCTGCAATGTGTTTGCACATGCTATGTCAGCACCTTGAAATGTTCACCTTCCTATATGTCACCTATTCATTAACACTCCTACCACCACCACCAAACTTGTAAGATTGCCTTGCTTAACTGTCTCCTTTTTTATGAAACCTCCTATAACTGCTTTGGACAGAAGTAACTGCCTTATTTGTGATACCACAGAAACTTTGTTCTCACCTCTATTGTAAGATTTACCTTCATGCATTGTAGCTACCCCTTCATCTATGCCAGATGTATAGGAGCTATGGCCTCTCCACATTTGAAACTCCAGTGCCTAGGATAGCACTCAGCTAACAGCAGGTATTAACAAAGTGTGTTGACTGAATGAATGAAATGTTGCAAGGTCATTCTGGTTTAATCAACCCTTATGCACTTGGTCTTATCCTCTCCATTTGTAATCTTAAAAAAAAAAAACTTCAAAAGTAGTTTTTCTGATTTAAAATTTAATTATTCTATCAGTTCACAAATACTAATTAGGCACTTATATGCCAGGAACTGTGATTGGAGAAGACTGAATTTTGGGGACAGTAGCAGCAAGTAAGATCAGAGGAGAAATGGCAGAAAGAATAGAACTGTAGATCAGGATCACTTGGGGAACTATGGGATGATTTTTAATAAAGGAGCAAAATGATTTTACTGATACTTTAAAAAATCCTTTTTTCTAAAGACTATACTTTCAGGGATAATTTCTATCGTTTGTCACTAGAGAAGTTTCGCTGAATGTGTAGAGCACAAGAAACCATGAGGAGGAGAAGATGCAGGATTCTCTCCTAAATGTGAAGCCAGCTCTTGGTGTTGCTTCAACCGCCATTTGCTATTAATGATAGTTCTTCTTTCCCACTGAGAGAATGGAAAGGAGAGGATGCAGTCGTTGTTGTTCCTATTAATATATTTAAACAAATATATATGTTTGTTTCTAGCTGCTGCGCGGGGAATAGGCCGCAGTGGAGGACTTGAAAGCAAAAGACTACTTAATATATGCACTAGTTTTCTAGGAATTCTGTAACAAAGTACCACAGCCTGAGCAGCTTAAACAACAGAAATTTATTGCCCCAAACTCCTGGAGGCTAGATGTCTGAGAATACGGTGTTGGCAGAGTCGGTTGTTTCTGAGGGCTCTGAGGGGGATTCTGTTCTATGCCTCTTCCCTTGCTTTCTGGTGGTTTTCAGACAATTTTAGGCATAGATGCATCACTCTGATCTCTAATTACATCTTCTCATGGCATTCTCTCTGTGTGCTCATCTGTCTCTGCACTGAAATTTTCCATTTTTATAAGGACACCAGTCATGTTGGATTAGAGCCCACCCTGATGACCTTATCCTAATTTGACTACATCTGCAAAGACACAATTTCTAAATAAGATCACCTTCTGAGATTCTAGGGATTGGGGCTTCCATGTATCTTTTTGGAAGAATGCAATTCAACCATACTAGTATACTATGGAAATAGTAAAATTTAAAGATGATAGATGGACTAAAGCATAAACATTGGAGACAAAGAGAAGTGGCCGGTATTTACATCATTTTGAAGGCCAAGCCAACAGTTTTTGCTGATTAATTGGGTGTGGGATATAAAGAATAGAGGGATTGAAAAAAAATTCAGGATTTGGGACCTAAATAACTGCCCTTTTCTGAAATTAAGAAGACTGAGAAGAGTGTAGAGGAAAGTCAAAACTTTGTTTTTGAACATGTCAGTGTGTTATCACTGACATTTGTTAGATTTCTAGACAGAGATGTTGATAAAGTGTTTTGGTATAAAAAATTTATAGCTGCAGAAGATATAATCCTCTTAGTTCAACCAATAATTATGATAGATTTAAAAAGAAGTCAGTTGGTTTCTTTGTTGTTGTTGTTGTTTGTTTTTATTTTGAGACAGAGTCCCTCTGTCACCCAGGCTGGAGTGCGGTGGTGCCAGCTGGGTTCACTGCAACCTCTACTTCATGGTTTCAAGCAATTCTCCTGCCTCAGCCTCCCAAGTAGCTGGGATTACAGATGCCCCCCATCATGCCCAGCTAATTTTTGTATTTTCAGTAGAGCTGGGGTTTCACCATGTTGGCCAGGCTGGTTTCAAACTCTTAGTCTCAGGTGATCTGCCCGCCTCAGCCTTCCAAAGTGTTGGGATTACAGGCATGAGCCACCGTGCCCTGCAGAAGTCAATATTTGTAAAAAGTGTTTATTTAAAAAAATAAAACAATACAGCTTGCTCCAAGGCCACTGAAATATGCAGTGACAGCAATAGAAAAAAAAAGCTCTCTTGATTTCTAATCCAACACCTTTTCCATTATACTACAAAGCTTTCATCAGCTGTTTTTAGTTCCACATGCATTTGGTAAACAGTGGTTGGTAGTCTAATGCAACAAAAATGCTAAAAATTAAAATTCTGGGCCCAGTAGTTGGGTGACAAAGGTTGCAGCTTAATATATATTCCAATATATGATCACAAAATCTATGAATATGACTAGATGGTCAGCAATATTGTGAGCTAGAATGATTTTGGAAATTGAACAGGTTATTTTTTTCCCTTATCATATATTCAAAGCTCTAATGCAGAATCTTATGTTGAGACTATGCTACCTTGAAGCATAGAAACTGAATGCCCCCAGAATTAGGCACTCAACTTCTCTCTGCCCACATATCCACTGGCAGCTGGTTCAGTCCCCATTGACTCTAAGAGAATGTTTTGTCCATTTGAAGATTTGGTTGAGATAAACTTTCTATGTTTGGCACTCTGACAAAATTTACACTTCAAGAGATTCTGAAAGATATGATAAGCGTGTCAGTCTTCTGTTAGCATTGAAAAAGGTTTGATTTTTTTTTTTTAAGTTAAAAGAAAAGTCCTTGTACTTTTTTTTCTGGGTTATTTTCATTTTGCAATAAAATATTTGTCAAAAATAGCTACACAAAAAAATAGTATTTATAATATATACAAATATTCTCACACTTTTAATCAAAATATGACTACAGAAATATGGAATAATTATTATTGGCCTCTTTAAGACTATTTTAGCTACTGTATACTGATATTTTATAATGAGTGCTGGGGCACTTTGTTTTAAAATTAATCAATGCTGCAGTTGATTAGCTGCAACTGTAAGAAATATGCAAGTAACTTCAAAAAATAGAAACATGTTCTATCCATCAGGAAGGTTATACTACTAACCCACTGGAAGGTGGCTGAAGATAATAATGGCTCCATTATGTGACCGTAGAGAAGGGACAACTGAATAGCCTGAGTAAATTTCCAAAACAGAAAGGAAATAATAGGTGTGCCATGCTCTTATATATTGCAAATATTCATATGTGCTTAACATTCAGGGAGTAAAACCTCAGCCCAAACAGCTCTTACGTGTATTAAATGGGATTCTCTATAATTTTTCAATTAAAAAATTGGACTGATAACCAAAGGAGGGAAAAATACAAGAAGAGAAAAAGTTAGTAGAGTCTCTCTATGCAGGACTTTTGCCTTATTTTGTTTTAAGCCTTGCTCAGTATTGTTTTGGAGATCAATTGCACATCCGAGCCATAACAAATTGCACACCCAAGCATAACAAATATTATGCAAAAATGCTAAATATTGATGGATATTTTATACTGAATTCTAGTTTAATCATAAAGGATAGTTTGTCCTTTACACTAAAATAAAGCAAAATAAATTTCATTAGAAAACCTCCAGAATTACTTGCTCATGAATGTATTCTTGTATAGATATTTACTAAGAAACAATATTTAAAACAGATAGGAATACTATCATCTTCATTGTGCACATGCACCCAATCCTATGGCTAGCAAAGAAACAGAGATGAACACACTTGCAATTTTTATGTTGCACTGATAAATTCCATCAGCCAGGAATGAAAGCCATTTTTTGTGTGTTTAAAGAATAAAAGGCAGTGTTATATATTACAGCACCCTGAAGGCATTTGTGGCAGGTGCAGTAATTTAAGTCAACCTAAACACTCACTAAGGCAGCTAAGGTATAGGCCAGTTGGGTGAAAATACCAAACAAAATAGGTTTGAATAACTTTTCTTAACAATCTTGAAAAACACAAAAGATTTCATATCTCTCAGGTGGCTTGGTTATGACCCTAGTAGAAAGCAGGGATGGAATTCTCAAATTTCTTTCAGCCCTCCCCTTTAGTCTATGATTTAGAAATAAAATCAGAGGCAAAACTCAAGGAATAGAGATACACATATTTTTCAACTGTAGTGCCCAGTAGAGGGCACTGGAAAGGCAGGACTGCAAGATTAGATTGGACTTCTGTTTTTAAATGATAAGGGTACGTTGTTTAGAAAAGGAAACACGCAAAAATAGTTTTTCTAAGCACAAATTCATCTACAGGGTCTGCCATTTATCCTTCAAATGCGATGTGAAATTGGTATTACCACTGTTTTCAAATTTTGACTTTTTAAATTAAGATTGCTTGTCATAATGTATTCCCTCAATAGTCAGTAAAGGGAATCAAATTTTTATAACAGGATTGCAATATTTAGTTTACATTGGTTCTCATTGATAGGGAAGCAGATATTAGATGATTTCCGGCCTTCGATATTTTCTTCTAAATTTAAACATTAAAACTGTACCACCCAAATTTTGCTGCTTTTATTTTCTGAGTGATAATATTTATTGAACATTGTCAAGTACAGAACATTATTCAAATATTCTAGTCAAGGTACATGCCCTAAATGTTTATGTTTTAAGATAAGATGGGTTCTGTATTATAAATAATTCCACTCACAACAAATATTGAAAAATGGCCTCTCATGACAACTTTTTATTTTTGTCCTCTAACTTTATAAACTTTAGGAAGGCATACAGAAAAAAAAGATATGGTAGAAAAGTTGAGAAAATGTCCTAAATGCAATTGAATTTCAAAATATTACAAAGGGAAAGGTAGCCACACAGGTTGGAGGGTATTTTAGAAAAACTGTAGCAATAGATAATCCAATAAAGGGCACATTCTATGATAATTCATGCTGCCCTAAACTTTTCCTGGGACAAAGCTTACAAGCTAATGGCAACCAACATTTACCTCGTGCTGCCCTTTCCTTTTCAATGAATAAGAGGATCAGGCATACTTCCCCACATCCTTTGTAGATCCACTTGGTGTTACATCAAAGAGCACCCTGAAGACCAAAGAAAGCATATGTGGATGATGTTAACAAACACCACTTTGCTGGACATTTTGAATTTCAATGTTCCTGCAGTTTTGCATTAATCCCCATCAGGATTTAGTGGACATTTGCATTTTTTTCTAATTTTATAGAATTCACAACATCTGTTACAGTTTGGAAAGGTAGAAAACAAAGAACAGGGAGGCTTTTTGGCTTCCACACACCTCTCATTTGATGAAGGGCTCAATGTATTTATTTTTTAGTTTAATTTCATCCAATTCCATATGCTTGTGGAATGCATATTATAATAAGGCTGCATCTGTTGATCAGTTACAGCTGTGTCCACGATGGTACTTGCTAGTAATCAGTCCTCTCTTCGTGCTGTGGTGGTATGTCGCAGAAAGAAAACGGAGAGCCATAAGAGCTTTACCTTTGTCTGACTCGCGCTGTTCTGCAAAATGATTAGTCATCATCACAGCGGTGGCTTGGTTTTTCTATGTCTTATTTGGAAGCTGCCAAGATGTAGTCAGATGCAAACACCATGATGATATGGACGCATTTAAACACAGGAGACAGGCAGCATGGCAGCAGCAATGGAACATTTTTATCTCAAGCCCTAGACAGCAAGGCAGCAGAACAGAGCAGTTTAACTCAGGGGGATAGCAATGAAAAGTGTGGCAGTACATAAGAGCACACACTGTAACAGGCTGACGGACAGCATTTGGCTTGTATCAGAAGACACACTCAAAAGCCATGCAAAGACAGAA